TAAAAATCTTTAAGCTTAAATCATCGTCGTACAGTATGATCTATTAGATTACGAGTATTATAAATATATACGAAGGACGTAGAGTGTGAATTTTTTCTTTATGAATGGCAAAAATTTTGAAAAATGTTTCAACTTAAATCATCGAACAATATGATCCATCAGACTTTTTTGATGAATCAGAAATTTACATAGAAAAATTAAAAAAAAAGTAAATAAATATGCGTACGCGAATTATGATTTTACTGAATGGTCAAAATCAAAAAGAGATCACATGGAGCTATAATCTCAATTACTCCTCTTGATCTATATCCATAATTATGCACGGGTAAGTATAAAATTTGTTACAAAAGGCAAAAACTTGTCACTAGGATCTTTAAATCTTTGGATCTTTGGATCGAGGATCTTTGGCCCCATTTTTATGAATCCCTTTTGAATCGTCATACAGCTGATAAGTCAGATCTTTAGAGGTTTGCGTGAAGAAGTATCAAATTTTTTTGAAGTACTCTTGTGATCAAAGAAAGTTCAGTTAATTTCTTGTCAACGGCGATCGATCCGATTTAGAAGGAAAGTATTACACGTGTAGGTTATAAGTACATATTAACGTCACAGATGAGTAGTCATTTTATATATGTATGTACGCTCATTAATATTTCATAAGCTTGATAAAAGTTATCGAGTGTTTGCCGCGCCTTGTGGAACGAATCCTCGATCTTGTTCGCCGCTTAGCCACAAGTGTGTTCCCCAGCATGAATTTGCATCAAATTGAATTTCAAATTTGTTGCCGCTCTGTCAGTCGAGATCTCGAATATCTCGACGTACTTTCGTGCTCCTTCGATGTGAAATAAAATTATTAATAATACGATTTTTCGACGGAGCGTAATACGGATGATCTGAATACGAAGGCTTTCGTATCGAAGTAAAATAAAAATAGGAAAAGACTTTTGCGAATAATTAACATAAATAATTAAACCGAAGAGGGAAGCTAATCGAAAAATTGAACGGAAGAGTGAAATGACGCGGATGATTAGCATGTATTATCTTCCTCAAGACATGTAGAACGCACGAATTCAGAGATTGTCTCGTTTTCTTTGATCGTACTCTTGTAAAATGCCAAGTGAACTATAATGCGACCGCAATTATATTTGCACAATAGTCTAGAATCTCCACCCTCAAATGGAGCTTCAGTTTTGCTCTGCGAAGCGTATGTAACTGGCTATTCTCTCTAGTTTTATACAACGAGGACGTACAAGGACGTAAAAATATGAGGGTGGAGACCGAGGAAAAGAAGGGAATATGTGATACGTGGAAAAGACATTTAGGAAGAGAGGAAAACAAAGAAAGACAGAAAGGAAAAGAGAGAGCGAGAGAGAGAGAGAGAGAGAGTCTTGAGAGATGTGAAGGAGGTTATAAAGGGGAGTAAGAGAGAGAGAGGGTGAAAGATAGAGGGGAAGAGAGTGTAGAGTAGCCTAGCGGGGGAGGAAGTCTTGGAAAAGGTGCAAAGCCGACAGTATTCTTTATAGCTGGAATATTCGCCTTATGCGCCCAGAATATAATCGCACTTTTTTTATCTTCTTTTCCATTCCTCATACCACTGATGTTTCCGAATTCCTGTTTCGGCAGCAGTACTACACACAGGAGTATTCGACAGTATAGTCGCTGGTACTACTACTACGACTAACTACTATTAACTACTACTACTGCTACTGCTGCTACTACTACTACACTACTATTACTATTACTACTACTGTCACAAGATCACCAAAGCGATCTTATACGAGTAGAAAGTTCCGAGCTTTGCGCGAGCTTTACCACTGGTACGAAGGGAAGTAGTAGTAGCGGCTTACTTCTCCGCCTATGCCAGATCCCTTACTCGACGAGCTCTTTTGGGACGAGATATTTACCAACATCCAAGATGGCGGCATAATCTTCCCCAGCTTTTCGCGAAAGTCGACGAGTCATCCGCACCGCAGTCTCTTTCTTCTGGTAAACACTCCCATCACTCTCTATTTCTCTCTCTCTCTCCTTCCCTCCTCCTCATCTTACTCACCTTCCTTCTTCTCTTCTCTTACCACCTACAGTTCTTTGACTCTTTTGAGCATTACGTTTTGGGTCACCGCGAGACGCTGGAAAACATAGAACGTACCTTCTCGACGATTCTATGAGAGGAAAGCTTCCTTTCCCTTCTATGTTCTTGCCTGTACGAAATCTCTCTTGGTCTTTCCAAGTAATCTTCTAAGTCTCATATCGTAGGTTACTTTGTTCTAACGTTCGAAATACTTTCTTTTGTATTTTTAACATCTTTATTTCTTTTTTATGAATTATGTTATTACCTATCGGTTTTTTCTTCTTTTTCTTCTTCTTCTATTTTTTTTTTTTATAATTCCCACCTCTCTTCCGTCTTTTATTTTTTTTCCCCCTCTTGATCGTATTATGTGATTTTAGAAAATGTTCGAACGTTGAAACGTCGAGGATTAAAAGTTCAGTCTTAATCGTTAGCGAATCCTCTTGGAATTCCTTGAAGAATCAAACTCTAGAGCGAATCGAAGAAGAAGAAATTAGGTGGTAAATACGGAATACTGTGTGTGTGTGTATGTGCATGTGCACGCGCGCGAGAGAGAGTGAGAGATAGAGCGTCCAAGGTAAGAAGCGATCGAATCGAATAGTGGAATTCGTGGAATCCGTAATCCGCCGCCGAGTGAATGGCGAACGTCTCTAAGAAGAGTACCTATAGTAAAGAGCACCATCACCCTCTTGCGTTTCTCCTCGTCGATTTATCCTAACTGGGACTCGAGATTAAGGCAGTAATCGCTGAATTGGCAAAAGCTAGAGAGAGAGAGAGAGAGAGAGGAAGAGAGATAGAGAGAGCGGGCCTTTGGATGATCTTCATGAAACGAAGCTCACAAAGGAGGAAAAGTAAAAAAAAAAAGGAAGTTATAGAGCCGATTTGAAAATATTTATATTAAAATCTCACTTGAGATGCGTAGCATAAAAGTACCCCTTTTTCTTTTTGACATAAAAAAAGATAACTTTCTTACTACCATTTTGTTTTTTATATTACTCTTATATTTATATATTTTTATGTCGAATTAAAATATCATTTGAAATTTTAATCCAATGAAAATAAATGTCAAAGTCGCGTTGTAATTGTCAGGAAATTTCAAACATGGATCGTTCGTTAACATTTTAAAGTTTCGACTAGCAAATACTCCTCCCGTTCGCCTAGATTTTTACTTGTTTTTCAGTTTTTGCTTGTTTTTCAGGTAGAAAATAATTGCTTCGCCAGAGGGAAGGAGATAGACAGAGAGAGCGAGAGAGAGAGAGAGAGAGAGAGAGCGAGAGAGCGAGAAAGAGAGAGAGCGCGCGAGAGAGCGAGAGAGAGAGAGAAAGATACATAGAATATATAGACAAATAGAGAGAGAGAGAGAGAGAGAGAGAGAGAGAGAGAGAGAGAGAGAGAGAGAGATTCGTCGAGATTCAACGGGATGCAATATCGACAGGTAATTGGTCGGCGGCCTGTTCGACCGTTCTTTATTGCAATGGCGAAATTTTACTCGCGATAAATTGTTAGCACAAGGTGAAATAATATTTATCCATTCTACGACGTGTATACGGTATTTACGAGAAGAAAATACTAACGATTACATTATTATTCAGTTTTACATAACCATATCATATATTCCCATCGTTAAGACATATCCTTTGTAAAAAATTAACAGCACGTAAGTTAAGATCGTATAAATGAGAAAGTAGGAGAAATGAAACAAAAGAAAAAAAAAGGAAAGAAAAAAAGGAAAAACGAAAGAGAAAAGGAGAAAAGAAGAAAAAAAAATTGACGCGAAATACGTCGAAGTGATACGCAAGTGTGATACTTATCATAGAGAGAAAGAAGAAAGAGACGAGAGGTAAACGGGGGTAGGACGGGGGCGGGAGCGGGCGCGGGCGCGTGGTAAAGGATCGGTAGTGGGTACGTGGAGTAAGTGCAATAATACCAGATTATTTGCATCGTAAAGCCGTGCGTATGGGTAAACACAATATTCGCTCTCCGCTCGGGTCTGTGAACCGATAGCGTGCACCCAGGTAGATTCGCATCCGTCTATCTCTCTGTTCTGTCGTCCCACCCCTTTCTCTCGTCGTTCTCTCGGTCTATCTCATTCTCTCATTCTCTCTCACTTGCACGCTACAAGCCATCTCTCTATCAAGCTATCTCTATATGTCTATCTATCTATCTATCTATCTATCTGTCTCTTTCTCTTTATCTCTTTCCCTCTCTCTCTCTCTCCCTCTCTGTACAGCCACGGCATAATACAGATTCTATTTGAGCTGCCTCAGGGAAGTTAACTTGTGATGCGTGCACTGCGCTTCTCTCTGTTGGCGATTCTACGGATCGAACCGTTCTCCATTTCGTTGATGAAAACCAGAAGGCGTACCACCAAACGTTCCCTTGTACATATAGGAGATTGCGCATATATTCCATGAAAATAGCTTAGGAATAGTTCATATGTGCATCTCTATAAATATGTGCTACGTTCGATGATTCGATTGTACATATTACAAACCTATTTGGCAATAAGTAACCCAGTTTGACTTTACCAATGGGCATTTGATCTCGACATTCGATTGATACCTAAATCAATATGAAGAAGGATCATAGTAGGAAGGTCGTTTAAAAATTTTTTCCTATTTTTTTTTCTCTCGTTTCAAATAGAATGGAGGGAAAAAAAAGGAACGAAAAAGGGCCAAAAAATAAAATAGCGTTGGAATACGGGAATACGTTTGAAAGTCCCTTTATCTATACTGCTATTTTCCTAACTCTGACGTCAGACCCTCCGGCGGATTTCTCCTCTCGGGAGAGAAGCACGGCGTCAGTAGCAGTAGCAGTAGCAACAGCAGCAGCAGCAGCAGCATCCCTTTACGTCTCTCTCTGTACGCGTTGCGACGCGGCGCAGAAACGAAAGGGGGCTTCTCGCGCGAGGGCGAAAAACGACTCGTGGGTGGGGGGGTGTGCGAGCAGCATCCGTCGAGGGGTTGGCCTCGTCGATGTCGGCGAAAGGAGAGGGTGACTGTCCCCATACAAAAGGATAGTAACGAGTGGGGGTAGTAACGCCCGCCCATTGGTCCGCCCATGGTCCGACCGAAGCGGAGTCATTTGGAATCAATCCGTGGCACGATTTCACCCTGTTGTAGAGACAATCGTTGTTCTAAGTTCGCGAGAACACGAACGTTTTATTCGATTAATCGGCAGAATTTTTCCGTCTGGACTGTTTTTTTTTTCTTTCCGTCAATTTCACCTATTCGTTCGTTCCCTCTTTTTTCTTTCTTTTTTTTTTTATTTCCTTTTTATTTACCCGAAAGATCATCTCATACTTGACCCATTTCGAAATCCAAGTTATGTTTTATCTGGTGTATTGTCGAAGAAAACAGTTTAGTGTTTTATGCCTGAAGGTTAAAGTCTGACGATATGTACCTTCGATCATGGAGATCCGTTTAAAAGGTTCCATCGTTTTAGTAATAATAGAAGAGAAACATCCTTGACGGCGGCACGTCATGCCGATGTACACGTTCCTCTTGGCTAAACTCATTGCGAGTGTTTAGAACCGGTAAACAGAGAAAGAAAGAGAGAGAGAGAGAGAGAAGAAGGAAGAAAATAAAAAAGGCGCGTTATCGTTGTGGAAACAAACTATTAGCGAAAGATAGCACTCCAAGAAAGAGAGAGGTAGAGTCTCGCGTGTGACAGTTCGCTTCGGTGAAATATGTCGGACGCGGGATGTCGACGAGGAATCTTCTCCGACGGTGATGTTTCCGACAACGTTTGTCCTTGAGATTCGCAAGAAGACTTAAAAAGAAGACTAAAAAAGATTTTATCTAATACGGAATCGTTGATAAAAGTTTCGAAGAAGGATCGTTCGGGGGTTCTTCTTTTTTTTCTCTCTTCTTCATTTCCTTTTTCTTTGTTGTTTCAAGGACGAACGGAATGCGAGCGATGACCTTGAGCGTTGAAAGAAAGTGGTAAAATAAGAAGTGTGTTTTTCGGTTCTGATGAACGTTCGAGGGAACTCATGGAAGCGCATTGTGCGATGATGATGTCGAATCTGTCGTGCGACGGTTGCGCTGACAGCAGCAGCCGGGATTCCGACAGCAGTAGCATGATTGTAGATCCGGTGAGTCTCGATAAGAACGACATGTCACCGCCGCAATCGTCGTCGAGTCCGTTAATATCGAGTTCTCCGGTACCAACGATGACAGCGGCGACGACGAACTCGTTAAGATGTCGCGGTGGTGCGAATAGAATGACGAAAAAAATGCCATACTCGAGGATGCCGGTAACGTCGGTGGCGTTGTCCTCGAAGTCAACGAGTCAACAAAAAACGTCAACGGCGGGTCAACAGTCATCCGGTTATGGAAACGAGAAAATGTCTTCGTCTTTGATAAAACCACCATATTCCTATATAGCATTGATTACCATGGCCATCCTACAATCACCCCAAAAGAAACTTACGCTAAGTGGCATATGCGAATTTATAATGTCACGATTTCCATATTATCACGATAAATTTCCAGCCTGGCAAAATTCTATCAGGCATAATTTATCATTGAACGATTGTTTCATTAAGATACCAAGAGAGCCCGGCAATCCGGGTAAAGGCAATTATTGGACATTGGATCCACTTGCCGAGGATATGTTTGACAATGGTAGCTTTTTACGACGTAGGAAGAGATACAAGAGGCCACCGCCTCATTACGTTCTTCGCGACAGGGCTATCATGGCTACCTTTGCAATTTGCGGCGATCGTGGACCTTGTCCAGGTGGTGGGGCTGGACATCCAGGTACATTGGCTTATCCCGGTGCTGCATACCTTTCGCCACCACCCGGCCTACCACTTTTGGACTTTTCTCCGTCTACGTTGGAAGCTCTCAAATTAGGTGCTTTCCTCGAGCCGCCAGCACCGCTTTACAAGCCTGTACCCATTACCGCACCGCCTATCAGACAACTCGAACCAACACCGACTAGGACAACAACGACGATACCAATGATCAACGCACAGACCAGCGTTGAGAAGAAAAGAAACTTTAGTATCGATGCACTCATCGGCAAACAAACGGTCAGCGATCAGGGTTGCGCCGGTCTTCTCGATCTTAGTCCGTCGGAGCACAGAGAAATTAGAAGTCAAGCGTCCGCGTTTTCGCCTCTCGTTTAGAGCAAACCTTTCATTTTGCTCGATAATTATCTTTCGATATCGATCGATAGCGATTCCTTCGTCCAAGTCGTCCGATCCACCGATGTAATTCACGATTAATCAGATAATGGAACCCGTCGTAATAATGTAAATTGGATTTATAGTAATCGAATTGTATATCTCGTAGAGAGAGAGAGAGAGAGAGAGAGAGAGAGAGAGAGAGCGAGAGAGAGAGAGAGCGAGAGAGAGAGAGAGAGAGAGAATGAAAGACAAATTTCGACGAAAGGAGTCGCGTATATTTCGTTTAAATGGACTAATCGTCGATCGGTCACATTCCTATAAGAGACTCCTTATCAAAGTGACTTTGTTTCGTCGGTTTTTATTATTAGAATAAGGTCATCGTCCAGTGAATGGTGATTTTATTTGTACGGACGATCGCATCGAAAGAGGATGCGAATAAATATTTTCAATACTCGATCGTGATCTCGACATTCTCCTTCTATTGATATACCGATCCTATAATCAGCTACTACGTCAGTTATTATAGGATTTAACTATCGTAAATTTTTAGTCGAAAATAAACTTTGACAAATAATGTTACTACCGATCGTCGGAGACTCGAAAAATTATATCACCATCAGCGAAAGTCATGCGTTTGTTATGAATCGACTATAATTAATCAACGACGTATTCTTCTTTCTTTTTCTTTTTTCCTTTCCTTTTCTTTCCTTTCCTTTTCTTCTTATCACCAACACCAACATTATTATTCGTTCTTATAAATGCTAACTTTCGAATATTTTTATTTCAATGATCCATTTGTATCTTTAAATTATTTTATCTATAAAATATCTTTATCGATAACGATAAGAGCGCGACAAAAGAAAAAAAAAAAAAAAGAAAGGATAGTTAGACGAAGGTGTAGTGCAATAGTACGTGATAATCGTTTGATTTCTAATAAATTCTTCTAATATTTCTTATTATTTTTCAAGTCGCGATATTATATTTTGACTTTTTAATAATCATCGATATCATCAAAATGGCCACTGGCAATAGTCTTTGGCAATCCGTTTGCGTTCGGTCGATTAATAACGGCATTGTAAATACGAGCCCCGGACAAATATGTGCGTAGCACTCTTATTATTCCGGGGGCATGTTTCTTTTCTTTCTTTTTCTTCGTCGGATTTAATGTAAAGACACGCTACTCGAAATTGGACCGCGTTCGGTCAAGTAGGTATTATTTAGTTGTACATAAAGTGATAATATGTAGTATTTTAAAAATACATGTACTAATAGGACACATTTATCATCGTAGACAATTTTATTGTGCACATACGTGTATATCTGTGACGTGACGTGGCTTTTTGTTTTTTTAGATTCGTTGAAAAAAAGGGAATTGATAATAAATACAAAAATAAAAAAACGAACGAACAATGAAAAAACGAAACAATACGAAAACACGTTATTACTTAAGAACAAATTTTTCTCTTTTAATCTAATGTCAATCTCTAATGAGATTGGCAGAGCCAATAATATCGTCTGTCACGTGTGCATTCCGAGAGAATGAAATTTGTTAGAAAAAGAAAAAAAAAAAAAGAAAAAAATGAAGAAAAAAAAAAGAGAGTTTTATAATTTTCTCAGGCAGCTCTTTTCCTTTTTCTTTCCTTTTAATTTCTCTTTTCTCTTTTTTCCTTTCCGTTTTTTTTTTCGCCAAATAGACTTGGCCGTAGGAGTAAATCCAGTAAAAGTTTCGAGAACAGGGTAGAAACGTAATTAAATAAAAGAAATCTTACAATTAGAACTGTATCTTACGCGAAAGAATGCAACTATGAAAAACATATCGTAATGTTTTAACATTGACAATTATTTTTTCACAAGTAATTTTTTTCAAATATTTTAAATAACGTTTTATATATATACTATATATAATATATATATATATATATACATATTATTATTAAGAATCAATATAGAATAACAACAATAATAACGGTAATAATAATTATTATCTATTAATATTAACGTTTTTTCTGTCTCGTTAAGTTTTCGTTGTTCGCATTGGCACGGCCTTTAAAGTGGAAAAGCCTCGAGAAATTTGTATTGTAGATAGTACGAAAACACTCGACGAACGTCGATCGAATCTCTCGGTGAGCAATATGAGCAAGAAGGAAGAACTCGAAGGAGAGGGATGGATGAGAGAGAAAACAGAACGAAAAGGAAAGAAAAATATAGAGAAACGGGAGTAAAAAGAGAGAAGAGAGAATGTGTGAGTGAGTATGCACGTGATTGTGTGGGTGGATTGCGTCTGGGTGTGTGTGAAAAAGAGAAAAAGAAAAAAAGAGGAAGAATTCTCAATGAATCGACGATACATACCCAAAGTGAAAAAGGAGAAAAAAGAAAAGGGAAAAAAAAGAATAATAAAAATAAATAAATAAAAAAAAGGAAATAATAAATAAAAAACCGTGCATTAATGCATGTAGGTATGTATCAGGAAAGTGCGACAGAGTTATGCGTTAATTTCAGGAGAAACGACGAGCCATGATATTGGATTAAAATTACGACGATAAGGCTCACTGTGTCGGTTATTATCAGAGCATAATGCGAGAGAGAGAGAGAGAGAGAGAGAGAGAGAGAGAGAGAGAGGGAGAATGAGAGGAAGAGAGAATGAGAATGAGAGAGAGAGAGAGAGAGAGAGAGTATTTAATCAGATTTACTTTTCTCGAATAAAATGATGTGTGACGCGGTAGGGGGTTATTTTAGGTAAATAGTGTCATATTTTCAGATAACTTATGAAAGTAATAAATCGAGATTTACTTCGTCAACGTCGAGTATCTTTCGAACTTTACTTGCCTTTATACTTAACATAGATACGTTTGATTGAATACATATTTGAAAATTAAAATAAAGTAATTTTTGTCATCATATCGATTGCAAAATGTCGTCTTTTCTTTTTTTTTTTTTCTTTTCTTCTTTTAGAAAGGCTTAGATATATTATTTCACCGAGCTGCGTCTGATATTTACTTATATAATTAAAAATAAAAGGGAAAAGAAAAAGAGAGAAAGAGAAAAAGAAAGCGAAAAAAAGAAGCGATTATATCTTCTTCGTTCCTTCATCAAGTATAAATACTGGATCGTCATAAAAATATATGTTTAGTTATAGGCTATGATTATGGTACACGTCTTCTACCGATAAAAACAAAAAAAAACAAATAATTAAATAAATAAATAAATAAATAAAAATATAAAACAATTCGTCTCTGTAGATTATAGCGAAAATATTGTGTGTGTCAAGACGGTAGATTTATAATAATGTGTAATAATAATGATAAAATAAAGTATCGTTACGTATATAGAGACGTTCAAAATGAAATATATATATATATATATATATATATATGAAAATGAAATATATATATATATATATATAATGCATGTATATATCAATGAAAAAAGAAACGTTTTGGATTAGACATTTAGGAGATTCCTTGGAAGAGAATTCTCTTACTTTTTTTCATTCCCAATATTTTGTAAAAATAAAAATTTTCTTTTCTTTTCCTTTTTTTTCTTTTCATTCTATTACTTAATGTCGCATCAAATCATTTGCGTGAGTTATATGGCGACAATAAAGAGGTAAAGTACGCAGTTTATAATACAGAGTTTAGTGTATTTTAGATAGCATAGTAGCCTTTGTCATTTCATTCTTGTTTTCGTTATTTTTTTTTCCTCCCTATATACGATTATAATATCGAGGCGTAGCGTCGTTGATAAGAAAGAGAGAGAGATAGAGATAGAGGGTGAAAGTGAGAGCGATAGAGTGAGTGAGGGTGAGAGAGAGAAAGAGAGAGAGAGAGAGAGAGAGAGAGAGAGAGAGAGAGAGAGAGAGAAGTACTCGAAACGTGAAGAATTTTTTCACGTGGAAAAAAAAGGGAAAAAGCTTGTCTCTCGAAGAAGTGCATCCAGTTTCCAGTACAAAGCAATAACTTGTTTACCCGCTTCGGTGCAAGCAGCTGAGGGGTGAACGGCGAATGAGTGGATTTTCATTGCAGTTTAATCCCGTCCCTGTTCCCTACGTGGTATTCTAAACGGCGATACGAAGGCAACTCTTGTCGCTCGGGGTGACGATATTACATTCCTCGATCGTGACGAAGATAACAGCCATGGCACGTAGCATCTCTTCTCTTCTTCTTTTCTTCTCCCTTTTTTTCTTTTTCTCTCTCTCTCTCTTTTTTTTTCTCCCCACTGATCTATTTCTGTCATTTCCCGTCTATTCCCTCTAATCTCTCAAACGATGGAATTTATGAGATACCCAGTATATATACTCACATTGGCTCGTTTCGATATCGAAATCAAATCAAACTTCAAACTACACACACACACACACACACAAATATATATGTATATATGCACATAAAGTCATAGGAAAAAATTTTTACATAAGAAACAAATAAGATCAGATAAGAATTATACTTTCATTCGTAACAATTATCCTTTCGTATCTTCCTTAAACCCTACAATTGAAACGTTAGAGATAAAATACAATGTTATCGGTCTAATAATAAGAAGAACTTTCAAATGCCTTGGATTCTATCTATTACAGAGTGATTAACAGGCGACACGGAACTCTCGCTATGAAACTATTTGCAAGTACTTAGTTGTACAATATTACCAACGATCGTTCTTGCTATCTCTCTCTCTCTCTCTCTCTCTCTCTCTCTCTCTCTCTCTCTCTCTCACTTTCCGGATTCGCTTATGTCTATACTATACACATGTACGTATATGTCTGTATATATATGTATGCATATATGTACTTTGCGCTTTAAATGCAACGGTAAATCGTGTTTACGGACGATAAAATAACAGTCACGATGCTGGATTTCATGGTCGAGGTAAGTAATGCAATTCATAGTAATATTCCACGTGCATTTCAGAGATATTATAGATAACACGAACATATATTTCTACCTATCTATCCAATAAGTCTAGACGTTAACTTTTCGAGCCTATTATTTAGTCGATTAATTTTTCTCCTTTTATCGTCTTTTTTTTTTTATTTCCTTTTTTTTTTTTTTTTAATCGACAATCATCTATCCGTTAAATGTTGAAAATGATATTTGAAAAGATTGTCCTCGAAATTATAACGTCGAATGATGGTAGAAGATCGATAAATGGAACGGAGATGAGACATAATGAACCTCTTTCCCATCGTCTCTAATTGTCAACCACCGGCACGTTATTTACCCTTACCGAACACAAGGAATTATATATCCTCTCACTCTCTCTCTTTTTCTCTCTCTCTCTCTCTCTTTTTTGATCCTATATTAAAGAAAGACAGAAGAAAGACGACCGTGAAAGCGATTCTCTCATCTTTCTCTTCCTCCTCTATTCCTGTATCTACGTGGCGACAATGCAAACCGAAACAAACACTTGGCGGCACGTGAGCGCCACGTGCCAACTAGGATATATTACATTCCGAATGCACACACACTTGACGACCGATTAAAGGGGTGTGTACACGGGAGAGATACGACAATGATCGTGACAACGATACAAGTTCGCACGGAAACACGATTTCCTGTTTCTATTACCTGACTCTGATATATATGTATGTATATATATATATATATATATATATATATATAATGTATATATATATAATGTATATATATATATATAATGTATATATATATGTATATATATATAAAATATATATCAATAATTTTAATAACTATCATATAAAGTTACTTACAGTTATTTATTACTTAAGAATTTTATGAATGATTATACTATTAAAATTGTTTAGAATGATAAAAAGAGATAAGTCTGAAAGAAAATTAGATAACATAAACGTTATAAATGTACTTATGTGTGCGCGCGCAGGCGTGTGAACATGTACGTGTTGCGATAGTAAGAAGAGGATTCATCAGAACGCATGGATTCCAGTGTAAAGGTACTTCAAGTTGGTGGTACTGGCAATGACCAATATTATGATAATAATTCAAGTCTCTAGCGTCCTCTCCGAATCCTGAAAAACGAGTTTCATCGTCGTCGTCGTCGTCATCGTCGTCGTCGTAGTAGTAGTCGTATGTAGTCATAGTCGTCCTTGTTGTCAGAAAAAAAGAAAAAAAAAAGCAAAGAAAAGGAAAGAGATTTATTCGTTCTCCCACCTATGACGATCGCGCATAAGCAAGGTGGAGGATTCGGTGGCCATGTTTGAAGGTGCGGGCGTGGCCTTCCGGTTTCCCTGGGCAACCGGCGCCCGCGTTATCCAGATATCGACCTGGGAGCGACGAGAAGGGTTGCTAGGCTTCTGTCCAGGAGGGAAAATGTTATCACTGCTTTGTGGTGGCTAAGATAGCAACCCGCCTCATCCCCACCTCACCCCTGTCTCACCCCTATCCTTCTACCATCCACCCATTGAAAGTGATATATATATATATATATATATATATATAGAGAGAGAGAGAGAGAGATAGTTGGATAGATAGATATAGATATATATATATATCTTGCTTTCTCCTTCCTCAACTCGCTTTTCGTTTCATTCTCCCGCCCATGATCCTCTTCTCTACGCGACCGCTTATCTATCTACCTTCTCAGGATATGTACCTACCAACGCCTTCAGCCTGCATTCACGGTTTTTTTCTTTTTTTTCTCCTCTCCTTTTTTCCCTCTGATTTTTCTGATTTTTCTTATTCGAACGAACCGATCGTTTCGCATAATCAATCATATCAGTTTTTCCACTGACTTTACTATATTGTTTTTAAAGGAGCTGCTTTGTGATTTTGGATAAGGATTAATTAATCTAATTAGATCGGATGAAAAGGGTGAGAAGGGTGGGAAATGTTGATAGTATCTGATTTGAATTGGATATATGAGGGTTTGTTCAATTATTTTTTTGTTTAGGATCATAGAAACGATGAAAAACGTTTTGTGATTTGTTTTTATTTCCATATGATTTAAAGTGTACTTTTATAAATTTTTTCTCTCTTTCTCTCTTTCTTTCTCTCTCTCTCTCTCTCTCTCTCTCTCTCTCTCTCTCTCTCTCTCTCCCTCTCACTGCTCGTAAAATAGAATAAATTAAAGCCTGTTGGTATTTCTATTATTGATTCGAGAGAAACAAGATAAATATTAAATATATACTATAATTTTTAAATAAAATAGATAGATTTGATCGATATTTAATATAATCATGTAGATATTTTCTAACACATAACAGAAATAATTTTCTATATATTTTTATACTTTTTGTAAGAGAATCTAATTAAAATTAAATTGAAATTAAATTTAAATCAATTAATTTATTTTCTCTATTAATTATTTAAAGTAAGAAAATAAATCTTATATATATATATATATATATATATATATATATATATATATATCTAAATAATTTCGAAATAAATTAGGTCGATTCGATCGAGATACGATTAACTCATGTATTTCTTAAATGTTTATGTGTATAAAGCAAAAGCTACGAGATCTTTCCATGCTCTTATCCTATATACATAATAAGCTAGTAGCTTAGAGATGCGCGTGCGCGCGTACATAAAGCTTGTCGTCGTATCTCGGCACACGTAGGAATCCTGAAAATGTGTGCGAACCACGGATGATATTAGATTCTTGAACAAAGTTTTCGCATGGTCGAGGTATCGAGGACCGTCTCTGGGACAGCTCATCCGTTGTGCGTTTTACTCTTTGGCATTGATTTATTTCTCTCTCTCTCTCTTTGTCACTCGTCGAAGCGTTTTCCTCTTTCAGATATATTCCTCGTAAATAAATTCACATAAAAAAAAATTATTTCAATTATTTACTTCACTATATTTTCATTATAAAAATAATGAAATTTCTATCGCGAAGAAAAACATAATTTGGATAATTCCGGGTTTTTATAAAAATTAATACTTTGTTAATAAATAATGATT